TATCATAATGATCATAATCATTACTTTTATGCTCATTAAAAGCAATTCTAACGAGCTTCGTCACTGTAGATGATGATAATGGATCTTTATTGTTGAGGGTAGTAGTAATAAGATCATAGCAATTTGAATGCATATTTCAAAAACCCTACACCAAATAGCAGCATTCGTAGGAACGTCGAACACCTCATCAAACGGCATGAAGAGCAGTTTCTGAGTGATGAGATAACAAGTTAGCAAGATTTTCATAAACAATCAGCTACAATCCTTTCCCCCTACACCGTACACCGAATCCCACCCGAGTCGGGTGGGATTCGGTGGGGTGTCGGGTGACCCGACACCATCCACTGGAGCATCTGGGCCAATCAGAGTTATTCGAGATGACTGTGATTCACCCAGATCCTCATCTCCTGTTCACAAGCAGCAAACATTGCCTCCTCGACGTTTTGCAGTGGCTGATTCTTAGAGGTGACCATATTGTGAAGTTCGGTTCGGCTTTTGCTGCGTGAAGGAATGCACTCTTGGCTGATTTCTTCGCCTCTCTGGACAAGTGGGAGAGCACCGTGCTGCCATTCGGAAGGTCCCGGGTTCGACCCCTGCGAGATGCAATATCTAAACAAGAGTGCTTCGAAGGGTCCCTGGTTCAACCCCTGTTGTCACCCCAGCTTCCTGGGAACTAGCCGAACTCAAGCCTGGAGGACTTTCCGATGTGCGTTGATAGATAGCAGTAGTAGACGATCCAAGATTGCTCATTAGAAAGCGTATGGTAAAGGCTACAAGATCAACGGCTTAATGACAGTAATGAATAAAAATGAGACGGCGAGAGGCTGACAGCAGCAGCCGTCTCGTCTCCAAACGATCGATGGCGAGCGAGCGCACGTACCGTGACGCTGCCTCATCATGTTTAGCGTAAACTCGCTAAATATCTTCACTTACGTGTGAGTTGAAGGGAGTCAAGGTCACTATGAGAGGGATGCAGAGCCATAGGGTGACAGACTCCCCCCCTTCCTTCAAGTCTCACGCCTTAAGGTAGCCCGCCTCTACAAGTTCCTTCCGGCTTTTTTCACGTAGACGACCTCTTGGAGTTCGGAATAGACGTAGTAAAACTTTATCTACGTCGCGGACGACCGCAAGGTTGCCGTCAGGACCAGCTTCGCCAAAAGAAAATTCTCCAGAATTAGGGTCTACCCATACCAGTTGACACATACCATGAGGAGTTTCCATCAACTCCATCACATGGACAGTTCCGTCGGATAAACCATCTTCCCTAATCAAACCAATCGCATCCTGGCCGTCCTGCAGGCGACATAGCACCATGTCCCCCTTCTTCACTGAGGCTCGTCTAACCGCTGATTGAAAAGCGATTGTCGCCCTGTTCCTGTCGACCGCAGCGCCACGCGGCTCCAAGTGGACTGCCGACACTG